TTCCCACAATGAATCTTCACCCTCAAAAAACAAATAATTATCCAACATTAGAAAAAATACCTGGAAGAATACGGTAACGACAATGACCACCACTGTAGTTGAAACCAGCATATCCTTAGCGGGAACAGCGTCCTTATCTGTAAATTGTGACTAGTATGCCCTTGTAAATACGGGGTTTTTCACGAACCTAATGTCATCACTAGACCGTAGCAGATTGCTCCACGAAGACCGCCATAGCCCATGATTACTTGGTCCATGAGGCCAATCTTTTGGACACGTTTTCCATTGGCGATCCACGTAAGAATCATTACACCTTGAATCGATTTTTTTTCTTTTAGTTTTGCTCTGTTCTTTCAAAAAAAAGCAGGTAAGTTACGATAAATGTGACATTTGCGGTCATTATCACCGAAGTGAGACCGGGTGTGCCGGCGAGATTGGGTTTTGGCGCGGCGCCAACCCGCTTGCCATCAACGTTGCAACTCCGGGCAATCGAAGAGTGGTGGAAGGGGCTGGCGCTGTTTCAGAACCCACGTGCCGTTGACCCCCCCCCCCGACTAAGTTCAGCCTTCAGCAATAACGACGTAAATGCAAATTCCGCCACAATTGGGAGGGCGTATCATTGAAGAGCACGTGGTCAGGAATCCCCGCCCCTCCAACTATCGCGGAATGTTCCTTTACAAGCACTCCAAAATTGAAGGAAAGCGACCAATGTCTGGATCTTTCACAATGTCTCCAAACTTACCGATAAATCTGCAAAAGATGCATGCTGTAACAGTAACAAATGCGAACATCAAATCCCATGTATGATTCTTTGAGAACGTTGACAGCCCGAGAAAGACGAAAATGATTGCTTCACAACTGAAATATGATGAACATGTAAAAAAGCCACAGAATTCGCAAATAATGTACTCGTTCGAAAAGGTGAGGCGTGGGTTCAAGTCCCACCCTGGGTCACAGGGGGTCTACGGACAACTTGAACTCAATCCCTTTGAACGCGTCGATCTTCTCTTTTTCTCTGCACTCTCTCGTCCGCATGGCACTCTATGGCCGTTGTGACTTCGCTCACTCCAGCTTTTCACCGACTATAAGTAGCTCACCCACCCCGGAGTCCCCTCCCCTTGAAAAATCCCGTTTCCTGGCTCGCCATACGTTTTTTGCACGTTTCGATGCTTTGGCAGCCGCTGCCCTCTATCCGTCTGCGTCACAGGGTTTCGTAACAGGACCATGCACAAAAGTTCAAGATGTCACGTAACCGTCACACGGCACATCATTAGTTGGGATTTTGGTTGAGCCAGAGCGGCCCCTCCCCCCTTTTTTAAGGGGTTGGTACACCCCCCCCCCCCTTTGGTTCCCTCTCATTGAGCAGTCGAGCAGAGGAGGGGATAATGCACATGTGAAACAGGAAAAGAACGCGAGACATACGACCCTCCTTCTACACATTCTTTCAGATTTCCCCATTCCTAGCCCATTTTTTCCAGAGAAACATCCAGAAAACTTCCGTTACTGTGTCCCAAAAATTTCGCGGTCGACGCGGAGCAGGTATATAGTACCAGAAACAGCAAAATCACGAAAACTCAATCACCACTCCCACCACTCCTAAAAAGGCCAAAAACTGTATAAGACCCCCTCCTCCCTTTTGCAAATCTATGAAGCGAGATAAATCAAATATCAAAATAAATTTTTCTCATCCTGAATGCGATCCTCTGTCCTGGCGGCCAATTACGACCCCCCCCTCTGTTGGGATTCTCCAACAACGATGTGCCGTGCTGGGTCAAGAATTTCGCCCACTCAGAACTTCTGAAGTCGTGGATTCGAAATTCAACGCATACTTAGTTTGCAGAGTAACTTGTAGTGGCCTAATCCGCAAGTTCTAGCTCATAAGACAAGCCTGACTTAGTTTGTTCCTGCAGAGCAGGCAGACGGCTTTGCTGGCTACAGTAAAATGAGTTACGTGCATTATTGTGGAAGCGCTATAAAGTGCGAACGCTATGGGATTACGTATGTGTATTCAGATACCAGCCCAGAGCCTTCTGGAAGTCAGGGACCTAGCCGAACATTGGGAACGAACCAGTCGCCTCGTCTGAGCTCTGCTGTGGGCACCGAATATGTAGGTTATTTCATGCTACAGGATTATTCGAAAGGGCGGCTCCGTTGAGTATCATAAATTTAAAAGATGGCACTGGGAGAGGCATAGCGTGGCAGCAAGTGTCAATAGTGAAACCACGGCGACAGGAAGTGGTACGGTAGAGGCGTCAAGGCGCACAGTCAACAGCGTCCAGTGACACCTCCTTTTTTGTAGTGACCCTTCAGACTTCGTCTTTCACAGAAGATAACGATGTCTTAAGCGACTGCTAACATGGGAGCTCCGTTGTCGTTCATCGTATCGAGGGTGATGAACAGGGAATGTCTTTTCACCTTGCACTCGTACCATTGCGTAAGAGTGGAAGGCAGGGCACGCCATCGTTGTAATGAACACTTTGGGGGGGGGTCGTATTTGACCGCGAGGGAGGGGGAGTCGTATTTGGTCTGAGAAAAATTTTTTGACAGTTGATTTCTCTTGTTTCACGGACGCTGTAAGGGGGGGGGGGATCGTAGGAATGTATTTGGTCTTTGTTGGAAGAGGGACTAATCTGGTAAGAGGTTAGGGAAAATCTGAGAAATTTTCCTGTTTCACATTGGTATACACCCCACCCCCTCCACCCCGCTCGACGGAAAATTCTTGGCTGAAAAACTGGAAATTTTTCGGGAAAAAATGGAAAAAGTGGTAGGAAGTTGGGAAAATCTAGGAAAGTGGTAGGTAGCATGGGGAGAGGGGGGGGGGTCGTATTTGAGGATGGAATTAGGGGGGTCGTATTTTCAGGAAATGATCATAACGCGATGGCGTGCCCTGGTGGAGGGATCTTATAAGGAGCGCTCTTGATGCTCCCTTTAACATATTTCCTTCACTGACGAGTACCCGAGCAGCATCTCTCCTATAACTTAATACCACTAGCCTACCTATCGCGCACTGTGCCTTTAACTCACCTCATCCTAAGCGTTTGATTCGAACTTTAGTTCCACGCCGTGCTACTCTGTACTGCCGGACCCCACCCTGCGGCCCCCTCTTTCAGGTATGACCTCCCCCTCCCCCCCCCCCCCCCGGCCCAATGGAGATCTGTCAAGGATGACGTGCACGCGTCATCTTGTACATGTTGCGCAATAGAGCACTTGCCCAATCACGTGCTCAAGGAACATACCTACCCAGATGATTTACGAGTAACGTCTCATGTACTGACAGAATTCCTATAGTCTTTACAAGTTTTTGCAAGAACTCTGGTTACGAATTTCCAGATGATAGGGTAAAAAGTGCCTTGCTGTACAGTTTGCAGTGAAAACATCAGAATGAAATCAACATGACGAATTACATCAGGGGAGAAAGGTCAAAATCCGTTTTTAAAGTAAGAAAAAACAGGTAAAAATCAGTACAGAAGTGAACCTTTCAAAAGCACTTCGCTGAATTCGGTGTTGCGAACCATATACCGAAGTCAATGCGGCAAAAACCTAGGGAATCGGAACTGCGACTTAAAGACACATTCCGCGTTTACCCAACCCAGAGAGGTGTGGCCTACCTATGCATAAGGATAGTGTCACTGTCATCAAACGAAAGTGCGTGGTAAGGTAAGGACGCGAGCTTGCAAGGGCGAGAAATCCCGCTCATTCTAAGCTCGAATTCATAAAGGTAAGATTGCTGCGTGACATTGCGAATCCCACTCTTGTTTCAGTACTAAACGTTTAAAAACCTCATTCAAGACAGTGCTCTACTTGTTCCTCCACGGACAGCACCCACGAATTCATGTTGTGATGACCTCAACACCGGCAATTCACAGTTGTGGATCTACTGATTCGCTGGGGTACGGAGGCGGTGACTCCGGGAGGGCTGAAACTGCGCAGTCGTGGTCGTACCGATGGCAACTACGGTGGGGCGGTGCAGGCTAGAACACAATGCGGAGCTGCAAATGGTACCGCGCCCACAACACAGTCGCTTTCGCTGCAGATGCTGGGGCGTATTAGGAAGGGAGAGGGAGACTGGGTTCGGCGCGGCGCCTGCCCGCTCTCCACCAAAAGCCGGCAAGCGACGAGAATGGCTGAAAGCCGAGCTGGATTGCTCCAAACCCAGCCCACCCTTTCCCTCCTCCTTATACGGCCAAGCGTCCGCAATAAAGACGACTATGTGCACTTTCGGTAGCGTCGAAAATGGGTCTCTATGCCTTCGCAGGGGCGCTGGTTTCCGCGCATTCCCGCAAGTCTGAGTTCCTGCTCATACGTTTATGGGACCACTCCAGTATTGCACTTAACTCGAATTAGCAACTGCTTATGTCAGTCAAGTGTTGGCAAAGACCAAGGCAGGCAAATGCTGTTCATGTGTCTGACTTGTCACAACACCGCTAATTTTTTTTAATCCCCATATCAATAAAATAGTAGAATAATTGTTATCTTTCTGATCGCCATGGTCCGCATATCCTGACCCTTGGGAATACCGACCTCTACCAGGAATAAACCACGCTTTCCTTCGGTATCGACTCTCCAGGTGAGGGTGGGGGTTTTTCCAGGTGAAATGCAGCCGTATCTGCTGTACCAGTCAAGGCAGGAGAACCAGGATAATCACTTTTCCCGAGAACAATCGATTTGAAATTTGCGCTGAGCAAGGTCCTTCAGAAACTAATCAATAGTAATTTTCATTTCTGTCACTGCTACCTTACCATGACGACAGCGTTTTCAGGAAATATTTCACTGTTGTCAGAGCTTTTTCATTTAAATTGCCGGAAATGTATGGTTTCATCATGAGACCGCATGTGACAATTCCTGAAAAAATGTCAACAAATTATGGTCAGATGGTGAGAAGTTGAAACAGAAAAGTTGTAAAAATGAACTTACGCAAGAATCCCTGACATGTGGACACTTTCCGAAATCAGATATGACAAGTATGGGAAAAACAGGCAAACAAGAGGTTGCAGAATTGGTACGTCATAAGACCACCTGAAACCACAATTCTACGAATTTCTCCGCACATTAAGAGCAAACTTCAGTTCATTACAATTTTTCACGGCGCTAGCTGAAATATGAGATTGAAAGAGCTTGTGATCCCTCGTTTGCAGGGTTACGGTGATACAGCTTTCTCTATTTCATGAAGATGGCAGGAGGAACAGGGGTAGGAACAGGGGAGGTATAGCATCGTTAGGAGAATCCCATCGGGGGGGGGGGGAGGAGGAGAGTCATTCTTGGTCCTGGAGAAACGCCAGTATTTGCCTTCGGGAAAAGTTTCCCGAGACACGAAAAACTTCTCCTTTCCTTCCGTTGTAGGCGGCACCGCACAATTACTATATAACTACTGTTTCTGAAATTGGCTCTGACACTTCGATGGTAACAGCTTATCATCTGCGCTTAACGATGGTCTTCTGGGAAACTGAAGAATTTCGTCGAATATCAGCAGAATCGTCAGGGAGTCGAGAGAATTTGGAAAGGTGGTAGGTAGGTGGGTCGGCTGGATCGTAGGACGGTACTGCCGTACTGAAAAAGAAAAGTCTCAAGGAAGAGGTACTGACATCACCGTTCTATACATACCGATGCTCTACCGTGAGGAGGATAAAAACACTTCTTGAGCCCACGCGGTTTACCCGGTCTTGGAAGACTTTGAGCATTGAGACCACTGCTCTGGGTGATTGTCAGCTTGATGAAAGCTAGTGGGCACATCAATAACGACGGTGGGCGGAGCAAAGTAGCCCCGCCCTGTAAGTGATCTCAGTTTTTGATTATCAGCAGAAGATGAAATAAGTAGCTCAGCAAAAGCTCGAGTAAAAGTGAATAGTGTCAGTCAGTGTGCTGCGTTTATTGAAACTGACTTCGAATGATACATTCTTTCTGAATTATCAAAAAAATTGAAAAAACATACTTTGTAGCGAAAGCAGTTACACAGACCCAAACGAGACCAATCAATATTCCACCAGTAGATACCATAGCAAAATTGATGAGAGCGTGAAAAAAATCTTCTCGAATAAGATTTTCACTTCCTATTTTCGCCATGGACGAAAGTGAATGATACAGCACCTATAAAAATCATTTTCGAGAGTAACGATACATTACGAAGCTGTTAAGAGATGGACTTTCTTGCTCCAGCTGATAATAGCAAAACGCCCCACTAACCATCTCAAGGAAAGAACACATCCATAAACTAAATTCTCTAAGGGAAAGGGTCAAAGAGGGAAGGAGTGATGAAAAGAGAATGACATCCTTACTCCAAACGCCCTTGTCGTTCCTCTTTAAATCTCACTTGACACCCACTAAACACAAGTTTTTCCGACCAACCACCTCAGAGGCGGAGTCCATGCTGGCCCATGGGCGGAGACTGTCTATCAGTGTGCACTATCAATGGTGCACCCCACCTTTCGAATAAATAGGTGCTCTGATGAGGAGCGCATAATCTCTAGCTGTCCCCGCCCATGTGGTGAGCGTGGACTGTGCAGTCAATTCAGAGTGAGAATACAGAAAATAAAGATACACAACAGATTATTATTGTTCATAAATGTGTTGCAGAAGTTTCTAGAACCGAACAGAAGTTCCCAGAAAAAGCTCGGAACACCTTTGGCAAAAGCTTCTCGAACCTAGCAAAATTAGACGAAAGTTACAAAGGAATTCTAGAATGAAAACTTACGATTGTAACGGCATCATTGAGTAGCGACTCCCCGAAGACACAGATATATAGAAGCTGGTTCACATGAATTTCCTCGAACACGGAAAGTACGGCTACAGGGTCGACAGCCGATATCAGGGTTGCGAATAACAGAATGTCGATAAATGGTAGAGTCCATTGATAGAGTGGTGTAAATGCATAGATGATACCAGCTATAATCTGTTTACAAGTGGCGTCAGTTTAAAAAACACTATTACAGTCTCGTTCGCTGCGAATGAAGGGGCGTGTCAGGGTGATGAGCTTGGCGCTGCGCCATTTCCGTTTTCCACCAGTTGTTGAAGCGAGCGAGCAACATGACTCTATGTACCTATAAGTCGTTTTTCACCAACTGGTGTCGCTTACCCGCTTCAACAATTGGTGGAGAACGGGTCTGGAGGCGCGCCGAACTCATCCCGCCTGATAATTTTTTAATCAGCAGCGAAGGACTGCATGTTAGCCCATAATAGCCGAAAAAAATTTTTCTCTGAGGAATGGGACAGTGAATAGTAGGTGGAGCCGAATATCGTGAACCGTACCAATTGTGATAATATTGAATATGGTACCAACAACGGCATAGAGTAGAATAGTGCCAAGATTTGTGAAGAATGCGTTGTTCGGCAGAAAATAGCCGGCGTCAAGTGCAATAGGTGGTAAGAGGTACAAGAAGAAAAGATCCGGAAAAAAATCATTTAATAACAGGTGCGAAACTCACTGATATTGTAACTATTTCTTTTCACACCTCCATCTTTAGTTGAACGCCTAGGAGAATAATTTCGAACTGTAACCATCCCTGCAGATAAAACTCCATATACCTGAGATGGAGGGGGCGTGGCTGCGTGCCTCATATGAGCGCCGCCATGGCCGCGCTTCTAGTGGGATCGTGCTACTTTTTGAGAATTGTAATGTGTATTTATCCACCATAGGACAGGATGACCGTGGTATCGAATGCCTCACAAAAAAACGCATCCTAACACCTAGCTCTAACGGGACACGCCCTCTCCATTTTCAGGAGTAGAGTGTGCAAGAGCATCGTCGCAAACCAGCGAACTAGGCCAAGAGGCCTGGAATGAGTTCTCCAGCGGCGTTTTCTACCACTGGCTGCTTTCTGGTCAAACCAGCCATTATGGTATAATCATCAAAGTTGGTGTCGCGCAGGGTAGAACGCTACATGGAAAATCCAAAATGATCGTGTGATGTTCCTCTATCATTGAAGGGTAGTCCCGACCATTGCTTCTACCGTCACAAGACGTGGACCAAATTATTATTTTAGGAAAATAGGCGGGATACAGTATCCCAGACTGCGCGTAAAACTGAATGCCTGGGAACGCCGAGTGTGCATAGTACCACTCAGTTTTCGCCTAGGCAGAGCCTATAGTCGTCATCCGGGCACTTGATTAGGCGGCCAAAGGGTCGCGACGCGGCTGCGGCGCGTCACGACCGCGGCGATCAGCTGTTTCCAGCCTGGTTTAGCCATTTTCTCATTAATTTTCACTGTTTTGGCTGTTAAGTTGCTCGTTGGTTTCAAGGGGTAAATTACGATTGAGATTTCTCTAATTTTCGCGAACAATTAAACAAATACCTAAAAAATTGCAAACTACTTCATCATGAAAACAAAAAGAATCCACCTCTTAAGTCCTAATACACTTCATAAAGGCAATAACACAACTTACCTTGAAAAAAATAGAAAATACAGTGAAAATTAGGGAGAAAATGGCTAAACCAGGCTGGAAACAGTTGATCGCCGCGGTCGTGACGAGCCGCAGCCGCGTCGCGACCCTTTGGCCGCCTAATCAACTGCCCGGATGACGGCTGTACACAGTGGAATAGTGGAATTAGCGTCGCTCTTGCTTACTGGCCACATCTAATGGCGTCCTCCCAAGCTAAGGAAAGTATTCCAACTATAATTAATTATTCAATATTCCAGGTAAATAAACTGGCTCACGGTATGCCCAATTGTGTGCATTTACAGGGCCAACACGTCTAAGCTTACGCGCAAATTTTGGAGTGCTGTATCCCGCCAATTATCCTGAACTTATGCTTTTGTACAAAACGGATATGCTCAAAACCCCCGAAAACCTCAAGCGCCTTTCACTACTTGCTTTTAAGCAACTGCATAATTTCAAGAAATTGAGCACTGGCATGCAGGTTCTGCCCAACTCCCCCTTCTCCTGTATCATCTTTATTAAATTGCATGAGCGGCCCCAGCCTACCTGAATGTCGCGTGATACACTGTACAAAAAAAATGAAAATGCAACCTTAGTTTCGAATTTGAAAAATGCAGGTCTGGTCTGAGGTGTAGGCTTACCTGGATGTAAATAAATGTCTAAAACCCATAATTCATCAAGTATTAGACCAACGATTAATCCAAGAACAATAAGAAGTGCGGATTCAGGGAAAATCTTCGCCAACACATTTGATCGATGGAACACTGTAATGAAAGTGAATGTGCTGATATAATTGATGAAAATTGTAATTTAAAGCGTCATTAAAGACGCATTTGCTTCGTTTTTCCGTAATTTTTTCAGCTGTCAAGTTCATAATTCATTTTTCCTGCTTGGCGAACAATGCTTCCTCAACGAACGAGTTATAGAGTGCGTAGCAAAAGAATGTGGACACCACAAACTTCTACTCTACAGGAACACGTGTCCCATTTGGTGAGATGGGACATTCACTACTCGATCACTTGGGTAAGGGAGCTTTAATTACTCCACTTATTGTTAGCAGCATCTTGTAGGCGACTTCACATTTTTTTTGCTTTAAAGATTTGCTTCGTACCAAAGTGTGTAGACACTTGGGAAAAATGAAAATTTTCTCCAAATTATAGTCTCGTAGCTGCTATAAAATTTTGTGCTAGTTTGGTCATTTTAGCCGGCAAGCCCCGGGGTTTCTCATGGTTGCCTCGGGTACAGCACCAAATGTTGCCGCCTTGACGTCATGAGCCGCATTGCAATGGTGTGTATGGGTGTTGTGAAAGAGAACTATGTGAAGAATTCTCCATATTCTTATTCCTCATTAGTATCCCTGACTTTCTACGCTTCATGTCGGGAGAGGAAGCTCCTTTTTTCCGCTTCTTCCAAAGCCACAGCAAACCGCATGTATAGTCGAAATCCCTGAGATGTGGTAATCGTAGCCGCGTTCTTCAGCTAAACGTGGCGCTGGCTGCGCTTTTGGTAAGGTATTTTTTTCTCTAACACAATTGTAGTCATGTCCCTCCTTGTCCAGCACTGAACAAGATGGCAGTTGTCTTGAACTCGAGCCCTCCGAGTAACACATTCTATGTCATGTTCAAATGCCACGCCTGCTCCGTTTCAGGGATAAGGAGTGTACAATCCGATCCAACGTTGCTTTCCGAGGACATCAGGTGCTACCTTCGAAGGCTTGCCAAAGTGGCGAAATCCGCCCAGACGTCAATGCTGATTTCTTTTCCATCCGGCAAGATTAGCTATCAAGAAAATATCCATGAGATATTTTCCGTTTTTAACTTGGCAGTTACTTACCAGACTCCACTTCATGTGATGATGTTGCAGTGCACGGACAAACTTCAGTCGAATATTCAATTACTTCTGCCAAACGAGGTTTTTAGATGACACCTTTATTGGCCTAACGTTTCGACCTTCTCGTCTTCTTCAGAGGCCTGAAAATGCTCGAAGCTTTTAATTTGTTACCTACCCGACCAAACGCCCTGCCCACTCTAGCGAACACCTAGCTGGGAAAAGGCGTGATATCATGACCACTCCCCTTGGCAAGCATAAGATGGAGCAGCATAACGGGAACGACTTTGATGTTAAATGTGTTATACTGGCGTACGAGACGGAAACTTCAGCTAGGAAAGTTCTGGAATCATTCTGGATTTTCGCGAGAAAACCAAGAATGAACAACCGAAACGAGTGTCTGGCTATTACAAATGAATTCCTGCCGTTTGTATCAGAGTGCGAGCTACAGTAAGGACTACGTGCGCTATGACAATTTTGACTTATGCGAGTGAGACACAAGTGAGTCTCATTCGTCCTTACTGGTTCAACTAACACACTGCGTGAGCTGAGCTCCGTACGGTGATACCTTCGGTGAGTTGTTACTGTGGTGGTTAGGACTCATTACCGGGTTTTGGAAGCGTTCGGGAAACGAGGTCGGAAACGCTAGAGGGAGGGCGTTTGGTCGGGTAGGTAACAAATTAAAAGCTTCGAGCCATTTTCAGGCCTCTGAAGAAGACGAGAAGGTCGAAACGTTAGGCCAATAAAGGTGTCATCTAAAACCTCGTTTGGCAGAAGTAATTGAATATTCGACATCATGCCGAGGTTAATAAGGGACAATGTGGAGATTACACACTTTAGTATTGTCATTTCATCGTGAGCAGTTTTTCTAGAAGCACTCTTCACGCTGGTCTATGAACCACACTAGTTTGACCGGAGAGCGCCCATAACAGTCGTTTTTTAGGTCAGCAAACTTTTTGAAGCGTTTTCTTGACCAACATACAAAGAATTTTCTGAGAGTTTTCAGGCTATTCTCACGTTTCGAGGCAAACAGGGAGTCTGGGTAGTTCTGACTATGGTCATTTTGAAAACGTCAAGGAATTACGGTTCAGCGTGTCTTTCACAACAGCCACACCTGCAGTGCGGCTCATGACGTCAAGGCGGCAACATTCGCTGCTATCCCTGAGGCAGCGAATGTTGCCGCCCTGTTGAGTGAGGTTCCTCAGGGATCGAGACTCCCTGAGGAACCTCCCTCAGGAGCATGCCAGATAAAATTACCGAAGTAGCACAAAATTTCATAGAAGCTACGAGACTATACTCCCAAAGAATTTTCTACTTTCTCTCATGGTGTCCGTATACTTTTGGCACAAAGAATTTTTTCCAACAATACATCACAAGATGCTGCGGAGTGGAGCATATTGAAGTTTCCATACCCAAGGACTCGAATAGTACACCAAACCCAAGAGCGCTCTTGTAGTAGTAGAAATTTAGGGTGTCTACATATTTTTGTTGCGCACTGTATTTCCATAATGTAAACGCAGGGGACAATGTGTCTGATGAGTGTCTGCCGAGACGGGGGTAAAACACGTTTTTATGTGAGATAAGACTTTTCGTAAAAGGTCATATTGTGATGCTAACTAACGGTTGAAATTACAAAAACAACAACCGCTTAACATTCCATCGAGAAAACGATAGAAATCGATTGAAATATAAAAATTAATTGGTCGAAGTCAAGCGAGCGACCAGAATGGAGGTAAAAACTAATAGTGTTCAAAGGCGTTTATCGTCAACTCTACCTAATTTTAGAAAAGTTTTTTCCTCAAGAAAATTTCTGATAAATGTTCTATCATTTCCCCAACTAATCAATAAGTAAAGATGTCTTTAGTGGGACTGTTGCCTTTTCGGCGACGGGTACATATGCTGGCGGTAAGACCGATGATGGATGACTGTCATCGCTATACCTTGGACGACTATTGTGAAAGAAATAGGGAATATAGACAAGTGCAATTTAAGAAAATGAAAAACTGATGGACGTCGTACCCAGAGAAAAGTGGTCAGAGAAATATTTACTCAAAAAACTTAACTGGTAAATCAGCTTTTTATCATGATGACGAGAATTCGCCAAAAAGAAGGCCGGAATCTCCGTAACATTTCATCGTTTTTCACCTCGACATCGACGATTTTATCTATTTTTCTCCCTTTTTCGAATGAGATGTGGCTTTTCCATGTTCAAAAATGTGTCCTCATAGCTTGAACATGAAAGAATTAAAATAGAGTAGAAATAGAGAAAGGAGTAGTAATTCTGAGTCAAATAAAAAATATCAAACACCGCAAAGAGAAAAATGTACGACACACCATGTGTGTCACAAGGTTCGGAGCTTATCAAATTTGATCTTCGTAAGAAACTGTGTTTGGATCCAGATGAGGTGCGTGGGAAGTAAATGAGTAAAAGTTGAGTTGTTGACTATAGGTTTTACTATGGCCGTGCCTCTACTTGTACTGTACCAGTATTCGAATAGTTGCATAGAACGGCTTCGTAACTGGTAATGGATGGCCAGAAAACTTACAAATTCTCGCCATTATGATGAGAAATAACCAATCAAGCCGGGTACACAGACTCAAGTCCGGCGCAGTGTTACCACTGTAGCGCATTTGCACAGCTAGCAAAACATTTGCACAATCTGGTCTTATCCGCTTCGAAACCCCCACCACTACCTCTGGCACTGCAATCAGAAAAACTCGAAACCTCTTTAAGAAAGCCTATCTCCTACAAGATAAAAGCACGTGAAGCCTCGCCTTGTAATCGCCTCTGATAACTCTTCAGAAACCGGGGTTGTAATTGACATGGCTTTCAACATTCCAAACTCTTGAGCTGCCGACACTAACCTCTCCACCCCCCTCACTAACACGCGCCAAACACCGTCTCTTCAGAACAACAGCAGTAGACGAAAACCGGTAACACACTGACAACTCAACCGTGACCTCATAACAGACACACACACGCACACCGCACCCCTCCCACCCTCCCGATACGCCCCATGAAGATGCAGACCTGATACTCCCCCGCTAGTAACTCTCACTACGCACTCACAGGTCATCAGCCCCAACGCACACCCACCCACACTGCTTCGTCCGCAATGCTACTAAACAGAACAAAAGTAGACAACAAAAAAACCAAACACAAACAACAACTCGGCCACCACCTCGGCACAGAAGTGGTTATTTTGATCGACGGCTGATCATTACGTTTGATGGGCGTGGCGGTCGGTGTCTCAACATTGTGGCTGGCGGTCGAGAACTGCGAGAATTCACGAGTTATGTATGGAAGTGAGACTGTTTGCTGTATGAAAACCAGATCATAGATGTAAAATCACGCTGATGAAATGAATAATCACAGAAATTCAGTTAGAACTAGGACTTTCCACGTTTGTTGAATGGGTGGGAAAAGCTGTGATGGTATAGAATCCAATGAAAGGTGACTCGTATCTGTGGTAATCCACATCGCATCACATCATATATACATGCAAGGTAAGGAAATCAATCATCAATCAAAAGTCTTTCATCGCTTGGACGTGGAGAATAGGTGAAAAACGATAGAGATTACCAGCAGGCGGGGAAGTCTGCTCTAGGGAAAAATAAATTGCAAATAAGACTCTTTGCGATTTGTCGGACCACTGCCTCGTTACTTTGTGGGTGCTTTTAGTTCCTCCAGGCAGATTGCTTCAACGTTGACTGGCGTAAACTTCTAGCCACGGGTACAGTCGCTCATTTTCTCACAAATAGATGTTAGAGGAGAGACGGGGGGGGGGGGGAGCGGTGGAAGAGGGAGGAGGGGTACATAGAACACGTGAAACGCGAAAACACTGACAGAAGTTTCAAAAATGTCAAAAGCGAAAAAATCTCCTATAGAAGCGAATCCAGCCCCCCCCCCTCCAGCAACCAAATCTCACTGGGGTTCCCCAACGAACAAGCGTACTCTGATCACCAGCGCGTTTACGTTGGTGGGAAAACACGATACTGAAGGGAGAGAGGGTGCTTAAGTGGTTATCACAACGACTTCTGCTTGTAAGCCCCCCCCCACGCGACTTCTACAAACAAAGAATTTCAAATGTGTAACGTCCCCAGGCGCCCGCATCCTGCGTTTTGTGGCTCCTGCACTTATGTGAATCTTTGGAGAATCACGACCCCCAGGCCCCGCAGTAGTCCCCTCATAGTCACGCCGACCAGCCAGCCCCTCCCCCCCACCACTACCTCCGAAGCTCAATGATACATCCTAATCTCCGAACACCTGAAACCAAACTAACCATCCACCTCCTTATCCCCCACTGAGACGGAGTACGGCTTCTCGGCATCTGACCGCCCGTGCGCTCTAGAAGGGTTATTCCAACTCCAGCGAATATCTCCCAACTCGTAGTTCGTCTTGGTCTTGTTTGAACAGCAGAAGTCGACCACAATTGTGTCAAAACAAAAATAACTCTCCAATAGCACAACCACCGCCATCTTCATATATACAAGGGGGGGGGGGGCAAAAAAAAGTCACTTCGACCGAGTGAGCACATTAGCAAATTTCTCGCACATGGCCTGCGAAAGAGGAAGCTGGCCTAGCGAGTACGCAAGGGCGAAAGAATAGCCTGAAGGTGTTCCTTATAAGCAGGAGCCGGCTGCGCCTGCATTTCAGCGAGGCTTTCATAGTAGCAATCTAAAAATATGAGTGTGTGTCGCAGCCTGACTGGAGAAGACCTTTGGAATTCACGTCACCTCCAAACAGCTGCGAAACTTCTAGTATGGAGTCACCCATGGATAGCTACCTGGAGACCAGTACTCTCGATCTGGATGGATGATCTCCAACATCGAGCAGCTCCGACAACGTCTAGGACATCATCTTCACCACATCGCCAAGGCGTGGGTTGATGGTATGGCCGGACGGTACCTGGAACGGAAGAGATAGTGATTTTCTTACCAGTGAGCCGAGCGCGGACTTGAAGGTGAAGCGCTGGCGGTATCTGAGCGCACTCGTGAAGAATGATGCCTCCTACATAGTC